GGCCGGGCCCGGCTTTGGCGGCGCCCGCAACCCTGCCCTGCAGACATCACTGTCCTCGCTGTCCAGCTCCGTGAGCCGTGCACCGCGGACGTCGTCCTCCTCCCTGCAGGCTGATCAGGCCAGCAGCAACGCCCCGGGGCCCCGGCCCAGCAGTGGCTCACATAGGTCGCCTGCACGACAGGGCCTGCCCTCCCCGCCCGGCACTCCCCACTCACCGTCCTACGCAGGCCCCAAAGCTGTCGCCTTCATCCACACGGACCTCCCAGAGCCACCGCCCTCGCTGGCCGTGCAGAGGTGGGTGCCGGGAGGTGCGGGTGGGCTTCCTGGCACAGGGCAGCTGTCCAGCCATCTGCAGGGCCCCTCTTGGCTGGGCACTCATAGGTCATCCCAGGGGCCTGAGTTTTTCTCTGGGGTCGGGACAGGGAGGATGCGCCTCACCCTGCCTTGAAGGCCCTGGCTAGCCCGTGTGGCCCAGCTCTGAGGATGTCCTGGGCACGCTCTGGGGACAGGGTATGAGAATTTGTGTCCTCATCCCAACAACTCGTTCCCCCAGAGCTGGCGTAGACCCAGCATGTGGGAGGCCGTGGGGCTTTCTCCTTGGGGCTGGTGTCATGCGGCAGCCTGGGCCTCCTTTAGGCTGTGGCTCTGGCTTCCTGGGTCACAGTGGCCCTGTCCACCCAGGGCTCTCCCTGGGTCTGCTTTGCTGCATCTCTTGGAGGCTGGGGCTGAGAACATAACCTAGCCGCAGAATGTGCCACCCTGGGTGACCGGTCCCTGGCCCTCCCTGTGGGACATAGTTCTAGGAAGCAGGGGTTTCCCTGCTCGTAAGTGGGGAAACTGAGGATTGGAGAAAGCAGGCTGGCTCCAGGCAACTAGCAGGTTGGTAACTGAGACAGCGGGGTCAGCTGGTGCGCAGGCCCAGGCCCAGGTAGGAGAACTGCACACCTGCTGGGGCCAGGACCCAGGCTGCGGCGCTTGGTGTCCTCATGGCGTCTGTCTCCCGGTCCAGGCCTGGAAACCTCAAGCACAGGCTCAGCTGTTTCCCGTCAGCAGATGCGGCCCCAGGGGGAGAGCCCAGCCCAGCCCAGCCCAGGCCACTTGGCCACAAAGGGGCTGAGGGCACAGCAGTCCATCCAGCCCTGAGCAGACCTCCCCTACCCCACAGCGTGGGAGTCTGTTCAGCTTTTGTGGAGTTGGGGAGGAGGCTGCCATTGGCAGTGATGAATGGGGAGCCCAAGAACTAGAAGTGGGCAGCATTGCAGCCAAGCAGGGATCGCAGCCCTGGGACAAAGGGCTCTCGCCTCAAGAAGGTTTAAGCAGCAAGGGTAGAGCTACTGTTGGTCAGCGCTAGTGGGCAGGAGGGCAGCCCCTCGTTTTCCTGAGAGAGCAGGAATGAGGCCAGGCAGAGAGACCAGGCTCCCAGGGCAGGGCAGGGCAGGGCAGGGGCTCCGGTCACTGCCCACCTGGCTGCCCCATGCTCTCTGGGGCCAGTGCTGCCTAGGAGGGACCCAGGGGCCCGGGAGGGTGGTGGCAGTTGTGGTGACATCTGTCTGTCCTGTGACGGCACAGCCACTCCCCAGGCAGGCTCTGCATCTCCCGCCTGCTTTCCAGGTGAACCCTCCGAGCCCAGAGGGCAGGGACTGCCTGGGGCCCCACGACATGGTTACACTAGTCCACGTCTGCGTCGTCTCTGTCCTGCTGCCTCCTCTGTCCTCTGTCCCCATGTGTTCCTGTGTTCACTGTGTGCATGCGTGTATGTGCTTGTTTTGATGCAGGGACCACCCTCAGCTGAAGACTCCCCCAAGTAAGCTTAATGGGCAGTCCCCGGGCCTGGCCCGGCTGGGACCTGCCACCGGCCCCTCAGGGCCCTCTGCCAGCCCTACGAGGCACACGCTGGTTAAGAAGGTATCCGGCGTGGGTGGGACCACGTACGAGATCTCGGTGTGAGGACTGACTGCCACCCATCTGCTGTGGTGCCACGGGGACCAGGACCCCGCAGCGTGCTCCCCCCCCACCGACTTCTCTGCCCCAGGGACAGAGAACCACCCCAACCTGGTGTGGACCCATCAGCGGGAGAGAGTGCCACGCCTCCACAGCTTGCCCCAAGCGCTCTGCCTGCCCGTCCACTCATCTGCCCATGGGGAAGTCGGCTCACTGGGCCAAGGGCCACTGGGCTGTTCTGTGTCTGGGCCCGTCCCATGGCTGGGGCAGTGAGGGGCCCCAGTCAGCCTCTTTGGGGCACCCTCTCTCAGCCAAGCTTGGCCCACTCCCATCACCCATGCACCCCAGATCATCGCCAGGCCAGCCCCCAACGGCCCCCTTACGGACGGGTCCCAGAGATGGACAGAGGCATCCAGAGCCCCCACCTTCCTTCCAACACAGCCTGTGGGCTCCGGTACCAAGTGTCCCCCGCCAGGCTACTCCTAACTAACGTGTTGCCTTTCACGGACCCCGCTGGAAGCTTGTAGCTTGGCAAGGCCAATGCTTCTGCCCTGGCCTGCTCTGGGTGGTGGTGGATAGGTGGACAGACGGCCAGCCAGCCAGCTGTGGCGGGGGGCCCGGCTCCATGTGTCCTGTGTTGCCCGGCGGGCGGGCTTGTGTCCCGTGTCTGTGTGCTGTGCTGCCGCACCGTGTCTGATGTGTCAGTGCTCCGGCCGCCGCTGTCCCTTTCATCAAAGCCTTAACCTTTGCTTCATGCTCTTGTGGGAGGCGACGGGGGGCAGGCGGGAGCAGGCACGGGGGTGATGCTGCCACAGGGGGCCAGTGACACCCAGAGCCCCCTCCCCAGCCCTCAGGCCCTCCCTGCCAAACTGGAGAATCCCCGCCCCAAGGCATGCCACGTCCCCAGCCCTGGCCTGGCTGCGGTGCTTGCGCCGCGGGAAAGCACACTGGGGAGGGGGTCCGTGCTTCCCTTGGTGTCAGGGACCTGAGAGTAAGCACACGACAGCGTCCGCTTGCGTTGTGTCTGTTTTATGTTTTTATATCTACATCTATATATCTATAATTTTATTAAAAAAAAGAAAAAGAGTTATTTTGATTCTTTCCTTGGGCAAGGCCAGGGCTGTTGCTGCAGGACACCCAGGTTAGGGGAAGGCAGGGGCCAGGCCCCAGAAGAGGGGGTGGCTGCTGTCTGGTGTGCAGGGGTAGGTGGGTTCCTCGGGGGCATTTCTGCCGACTTGGGCCAACTCAGAGGCCTGCGAGGAGGGGGCGGCCAATGGTCTGTGGCTGGGAAGTGTGAGGGTCTCCCGCCTTGGGTCTGTGTCAGTTCTGGCAGTGACAGGGTGTTTACGGGAAAGATTTGGGTCTGCCGCTACCCACAGGGGAATCCCAGGAACCCAAGTGCTTGGGGAGATGAAATGGGGGTGCATAGGGGCCACCTGCTGGCTCAGGGCCCTGTGGGGGCTGCTGAACCTGCTGGAACTCTCCTGCCTGCCAAATCCCAGGGGCAGGGTTGAGGGAGTGTGAGGGATGCGCAGCTGTTCGGGGCTGAGACAGCCTGGGCTGGGGCTGTCCAGCGCGGGAGGCGTGCAGGCTGTAGGGCCCTGAAGCTGACCTCCACCTTTCTGCTTCTCTCTCATGGACGCCGCGGCCCACAGGGGGCGGATTGGCACCTGCACCCGTGGATGGGGGCGGCGTGGCCAGCCTTGGGTGCCTCCTGGGCTGCACCTGTGCCACCTTGGCCGCCCGGAGGACCGCCCACCACTGCGGGCCCCCTGGAGCCCGGCCGCCGGGGCAGCCCCACGCGGGGCTATGTGCCGCCTGCACTTGGCTGCCTCCAGTCTTTTCCCCAGCCTCTCCGGGCCCTAGCAGGATGACAAGTAGGCAGCTCTGGGGCCCGGGACAGCCCAGCTGGGGACCCAGGAGGTCAGACTACCATGGACCCTCGGGCAGGGCTGGGGGTGGGCTGGGCTCTCTGCTCCACCAGCCACAGCTTGACAGACTCCCAGCCTGCCAGGGCCCAAGACCCTGGGTCCACATGACCTCAGGAAGTCCCTCACCTGCTGCAGGGGGTCCAGCACCCGACAGGGGGCAGCCCCAGAGCTGTGGGGACCAGCACGACCTTTGCCCAGCCTCCCTGTCCAACCAAGCACTTTAGACTAAGCCACTTCCTCCTCGGGGAGCCCAGGCCTCCGTGGGTTGGGCTGGGTTGGGGGGGGTCTCAGGTTGCCCCCGAAGGTCTCTGCACTCCTCCTGCCCTTCCCCTGACACATGAACAGATGCCTTAACTTCGTGGAGCTGCCAGCCTGGTGAGCCACTGGCCCCTGCCTGCCACCAAGGTCCTGTAGTCATGGCCAGCTCTGCCTGGGCCCCACTGGGGCTGCCTGCACCCAGAGACGATGCTGGTGGGAGGTCAGAGGGCCCGAGGCCCAAGCCCTGTGTCCTCCAGCAGTGGTACGGCCTACAGCAGGGTGGCACTCCGGCCAGCCCTTCTCCGGCACAGGGTCCCCATCCCTGGGTGCACCCTGGGCTGCGGCTCTATTTCTCCCCTTTGGGGACGAGAAAGCCGCAAAACTCTTCTCTGTTGTTCTTAAGGGCACCCCTGCTAATTAATTCCCCAAATAAAATGTTTGGTGTTGATCTCCACAGCTCTGTCTACCAGTGTGGCCCCCTGTACCGGACAGGGCCCTGGGTTGGGGAGGTGACAGGAGCTGGGCAGGGCGGGTGGTGGCTAGGCAGGGAGGGGAGTTGCATGAGGGGCATGAGGTCAGTGGATCAGCAGGGTCAGCACTGAAAACCTGACCTCTGAGGTCCCCGGGAAGGCCTGGTCCAGGGGGCAAGACCTGAGGATCCCCCGGTCCTCACTGCTGTTGCCTTTCAGCGGAGACCTTCCTAAGACGCCTTAGGAGTCAGAGCCCTGTGCAGAGGGGCTGCCTTCTGGATGGCAGGTGGGATGTGGGGTGGGAAGCCAGCCCTGAGGCTGGGGTCTCCACCCTGACGGACCCTCGCTGCTGGGTCACCCGGTGTCCCTCCCCCAATTTCCACAGAGACATGCTCACCGGCCACATATGTCATGACTCTATGTCCAGCCACAGGCCCAGCCCTCAGGACAGACCCCGCCTCCACCCTTCTCTGCAGCTCCTGGCAGGGACGGTGCACAGTGGTGCTATGTGCAGGGGGCCGGTGCGGCCACTGGGCATCCGGGGCAGTGCTGGTCGCCTGGCCTCCTCGCTGGGGCCGTTGGGCTTCCGGCCTAGAAGGGCAGGAAGCCGTCCACCTCGAGGCGCAGGAAGGGGTCCAGCAGGGCCCGGAGCTTCCAGACGGTGGCACGGCTCAGCAGGGGCGGCACCAGCCCCTCGAAGGGCGTGGGGTTCACCACATACACGTAGGCAGCAGTCCAGACCAGCAAGGTGCCCAACAGCAGCCTCAGGGTCAGCAGCCTGCGGGCGGTGGTGGTCAGGGGCAGGGGCGCGCGGGGGGCCTGGGGGCTGGTCTCTGCCGCGCAGTCACCTACCAGAGCTGGCCTGCCAGGCTCTTGGAGCTTCCCAGCTTTGGCCTCCCTTTCTGTCGGGGAGGGGCTGGATCAGAGCCCACCCCGAGGGTCCAGGCTGAGGGCAGGGATCCCTGGCTTTGGGAAACCCTCCTCAGACAGGGGTCCCCCCACCGTAACCCCGGCCCCTTCCTTCTGGACAGGCTCCTGCAGCCTCTTTTCGGATGCCCCCGCCCTGGGCTGCCCTCCTGGAGCCCATTTGTCCCCCTCGCCCAAGTAGGGCCCTGGGTGGGGAGGCTGGTGTCCAGACCCAGAGTGGGGCGTGGGGGGCTCACTGCCATGCTCACCATCTGCTGCTCCTTCCTGGCTCGAGTGCGGCACTGGGCCCGCTCCCTGCAGGGGCCTCACGGTCAGGACCCCATGCCCTCCACCCCCAGCCTGGCACCCACCCCCTGGCTTGGTGCTATGGAGGTCGGGGGTCAAGGATGGGTCTGCCCTGTCCTGACCAGGACCCCTTCCGAGACCTTGCTCAGCCGGCCTGGCCCCTGCCCCCACGTCACCTGAGTATCTCCAGCTGGATATCCTCCATCTGGTCCAGCACGCCCCGGATGTCCTTCTTGAGGTTCTGGGGGCCAGAGGAGGTAAGCATAGCAGGCCCCGGCCCCACCCTCCCCGGCCTCTCGCCTGTCCGGCCCTGTCCTTCCAGGTGCTGTCCTGTGGGGACCTACCAGGAGGCCGGTGGCCTGGTTGTTCAGGGCCATGTGCATCTCAGCCACGCTGTCCCACACCTGCGGGGAGTGGGGTCACGCCTGAGGAGCAAGACCCACTGGGTGGGCCCCCAGCATCCCTCCCCCTCAGCCAGGCGGGCACCTCTGTGATGACCATCTTCTTCCTCTCAAAGCACAGGCGGATCTGCTGCAGCTCGTTCTGAGGGTGGGGCCAAGGGTGGGCTTGGGCGGCATCAGCAGGGTGGCCGGTACCTCCCTGCCGGGCCCACCGGCCTGCTGCACGAGGGTTCCCCCCCCCCACAGCCCTCCCCCAGGCCCACCGGCCTGCTGCACGAAGGTTCCTCTCCACTGAAACCCCCCAGGCCCACCTGGGACTGCTGCACGAAAGCCTCTTGCCCCTGGCACAGCTCCCGCCGCAGCAGCTGCAGAGGTGCCCTGTTCCCCAAGGGCTGCGTGCCAGCTGGGTCAGGGGGCTGTGGGAGAGCCCCCAGATCAGCCCCAAAGCTGTGGGCTAGTGCGGTGTTGGCTGCATAGGGTCCCTGGGCCCTGTACTTACCCAGGCCAGAGCAGTGCAGCTTGAGTGTTCGGGACACAGGGGCAGGAACTGCTGCCCCGGCCCTAGGAGGGCCCCCAGCTGCTCTCGAAGGTCCTGGTTCTGCCTTTTCTGGGGTTGGGGGCAGAGAGTGGGGACTGCCTGTTATGGCCGCTCCTGGGGCTGGGGCTGGGGCTGGGGCATGGGTACCAGGCGGTGGGTGGGGTGCTCACCAGGCTGTGGTTCTCCTGCTCTAGCTGCAGGAAGGACTGGTCTGCAGAGCCCAGCGGCTCTGCAGAGGCCAGGGCCCCTCCCTCTGGTGACAGGGGTGGGCATGGGCAGGGTCTGGGCTCTGAACCAGTGGATTCCCCCTGCCTGGGAGCCCCCTGGTTCGACCCTGGGTGCAGGGGCCAGCCCCACCCAAGCCCTGCCTCCACGTCTCCTTGTCTCGGCCCCTCAGGGTCTCTCGCTCTCTGCTCCTGGCTGGACAGAAAGAGCCCAGGAGCCTCACCCTCCACTCTGGCCCCCCTGCCCCCTGCCCCTGGGACTGGGAAAGGTCTCTGGGACTGCACTGAGTGAGCAGAGGAGATGGGGCCCAGGCAGGGCCACCCTGCAAATCCCTGGCAGGGCTGGTCCAGGCATTCTCCATGGCTGCCGGAGGCTGGGGCTGGGGGACACTGGGGGTGGGGGTGGCCACAGGGGCCCAAGGTTTTCAGCCCCTCCATCCCTCCCTGCAACCCCTTCCTGACCCCAGGTCCAGGCTCTGGCCTGGCCCAACCTGCCACCCTCTTACTGAGGGCTCTGGGTGACCCATTGGCTCCCAGGCTGCCCCAGGCAACAGTCACAAAGGCCTGGGTGCAGCCAGGGAGGTCACAATGGGCCCCTCCCACCTGGTTCTGAAGTTGTCCCGCCTGATGACCTCACTGCCTCTGACCCACCGACCCACGATGCGAGTTTTTTTCTTTCTTTTTATGGGAAGGGGCCTTGCTCTGTCACCCAGGCTGGAACACAGTGACACAATGATGTCTCATTGCAGCCTCCAATTCCTGGGCTCAGGCAATCCTCCCACCTCAGCCTCCCAAGTAGCTAGGACTACAGGTGTGTGCAACCATACCTGGCTAATTTTTAAATTTTTTTGTAGAGATGGGGGCCTCACTGTGTTGCCCAGGCTGGTCTCAAACTCCTGGCCTCAAGCAATCCTCTTGCCTCAGCGTCTGAAAATGTTGGAATTACGGACATGAGCCACTGCACCCAGCCTGGTTATTTTTCTTAAGATGTAAAACAGATAATACACACACACACACACACACACACACACTCTCACACACAGTGTGGATTCAAAAAATATCAAACAATAAAAATGGTGTCCAAGACTTTCCCACTGGACAGGAGCCTCCTCTTTAAGCTCCTGGAGGTGGGCTGCCATCCCCTGCCCCTCGTTCACACTGAAGAGGTCATCGTGTAGCCTGCCCCTCGTTCCCACCGAAGAGGTCATCCCGTAGCCTGCCCCTCGTTCCCACTGAAGAGGTCATCCTGTAGCCCAGCTTTTCTTTTCACCTAATGTATCTCTGAGGTTTTAAAACATTCTTTTCTAGCTATGTATTGAACACTTACTTTATGCCAGATACAGTGCATGCCATTGTTACCCTCTGTTTACGGGTGTGGAAGCTGAAGCAGGAAGCCCTTTAGTCACCTGCCGAAGGCCACGCTGTTACCGGTGGGACGGGACTTGGGCGGCTGAAGAGCACTCATCCAACAGTGGGGCCGGATTCACGCCCCAGGCCGGTTCCCTCCTGCTCCCTGGTGCTCCTCACGCCATCGGCCCCGCTGCCCCTCACTGCCCCTGAGTCCTAGTGCCTGTGTCTTCCTTCTTGAACCCCTCAGCCCTCAGTTAACCCTCAGAAAGCTGGCTTGGAGAAGTCCTCATGTGGTGGGAACAGCCCCGTTCCCTGCTCTCTCGGTGTCCTGGCCCTGCTGCAAGGTGACTTCGCCTCCTGCATCAAGAGGCGGGTCCTGGTCTCCACCCCTGGGCTCTGGGCCGGCCTTGGATGCACTTGGCCAACGGGATGCTCCTAAGCTGCCGTGGGTAGAGGGTGGCACGACACTTGTGCGCTGGGCCTGGACCTCTCTTCCTTGGCTGTGGGGACTGTCCTCTCTGCAGGAGGCCTGGGCTGGGCTGCAGGATGAGAGGCCATGGGGCAGGAGAGGCTTCTGTCAGCCCAGCCGGTCCCCAGCTGCCTGAAGATGGGTGGACAAGCCCCAGAGAACCGGCCCATATGGCAGCCAAGTTGCTGGCCATGTACCGCCGAGCCCCGGGCTGCCATGGTGGTTGTGCTGCTGAGTTTTGGAGTGGGCTGTGATGTGGGAGGAGACACTGAGAGGCCTCACAGGCCTACAAGCATCTTACCCTGACCTCGTGCCTGCTGGACATCGGGCTGGGGAGAGAATCGGGGCCAAGGGCGTTTTCCCACAGGACTGGAAGGCCGGTCGTGGTCCTTGGTAGTGAGAAGCCTGTAGGGTCCCCTCTGATCCCTGCACCTCTGGGGGTCACACCAACTGTGGGTGATTCCTTCCTCACAGCGCTGGGTGCTTGGTGAACACATTCTGCCTCGAGACCTGGCATTTCTTTGATAACACTTCTTCCCATTTCCTGCTCATTCTGGAACTCCTGTCAGTCAGATGTTGGGCCTTTTGAATTGATCCTGTGAGTCCTTCTTTCCACCTTTGCTTGTAGATAGACTTCCCTGAATCCAAACACACACACACTCTTTCTCTGCTTTTTAAAAAATTGGTTTTGGGGCCGGACGTAGTGGCTCACACCTATAGTCCCAGCACTTTGGGAGGCCGAGGCAGGCAGATCACTTGAGGTCGGAAGTTCCAGACCAGCTTGGCCAACATGATGAAACCCAGTCTCTACTACAAATACAAAAATTAGCTGGACGTGGTGGTGGGCGGCTGTAATCCCAGCTACTCAGGAGGCTGAGGCAGGAGAACGGCTTGAACTCAGGAAGCGGAGGTTGCAGTGAGCCGAGATTGTGTCACTGCACTCCAGCCTGGGCAACAGAGCCAGCCTCTGTGTCAAAACAAATAAATAAATAAAAATTAAAAATTGGTTTTGGATTTTAGCAGTCCTGTTTTTCATTTCCAAGACATCTCCGTCGTTCCCCAAGCTCCCCTCTTCTTGTTCCAGAGAATTCTGTTCTGCTCTTATGGATAAAGTGGGTTTGGGGGAAGGCAAATCTTTTCTTTCTGCATTTTCTCTCTTGTGGTTCTGTTTTGTTTAGTCTTGGAACTTCCCATGAGACTCAGTGCTCAAATGTCTGGCTTTTCCTTCTTTTCGATCCCTGTTTATAGGGGAGGCAGGCAGAGCTGCCGGGCACTCCTCTCTCCTTTTTAACTTGAGGAAGCCGGACACCCAGGTCTTGGGAGGGAGTCCTCCTGCCTCCAGGCGGCATCTTGGGCTGCAGGGCTGCCGTCTGGAGTGGGGACAGTACCAGCTCCCACTGCTGTCCTGCCATGCTTGTTCGCAGCATGTGTCTCCTTACACCAGTGACGAGGCCACTGCTTGGCTGCCGCTTGCCTTCTTCCTGCCAGGCTGTCCTGCTACGTCAGCCTCCACTCTCCACCTCAAGAAGTGTCTCGAAATATCTTGTCTGCAGATGACCTCTCTCCTGTTCTCGGTGCCACATGGGGCCTCCCCAGCAGAGGCGGCTGGATACCTGGTCCTAGCTGCCAGAGGCTGTCTGTTTAGCTGCCAGAGGGTGGCAGCAGCCTCTAGGACCCTCTCCTAGCCTGTGCCCTTTTCATTCTTTGCTGGAATGTCATGGGTCTCAGGAGGTGCTGAGCTGAGAGACCCCATGGGGCAACTTGGGATGGGGGCTAAGGAAGGCCTCTTGGAGGAGCCCTGAGGCGAGGTGGCCCTGGGGTGGGGTGGAGGAGGTCCTGAGCAGCAGGGGCGGGGACTGCCCCTTGCTCTCTGTGTCCCTGAGTGAGTGGGGCGGGGGCTGCCCCTTGCTCTCTGTGTCCCTGAGTGAGTGGGGCGGGGGCTGCCCCCTGCTCTCTGTGTCCCTGAGTGAGTGGGGCGGGGTCTGCCCCCTGCTCTCTGTGTCCCTGAGTGAGTGGGGCGGGGGCTGCCCCCTGCTCTCTGTGTCCTTGAGTAAGTGGGGCGGGGACTGCCCCCTGCTCTCCAGGTCCCTGAGTGAGTGGGGCGGGGACTGCCCCCTGCTCTCCAGGTCCCTGAGTGAGTGGGGCGGGGACTGCCCCCTGCTCTCTGCATCCCTGAGTGGGGTGGGGGCTGCACCTGCTCCGTGTGTCCCCAGCCTGCTAGGTGCCCCACAGGGGCCAGGATGCTGAGGAGGGAAAGGTCTTCATGGAGACGGGTGGCCCCTGTAATAAGGAAGACAACACTGGATTCCTGGGCGAACAGCAGGGCAGGGTCCTTAGGTCCCAACATAGGTGCCCAGGCCCAGGTGAGATTCCCCAGTGGCCCCGAGGGGGTGCCCGGGACACCCTGGGTGGCCCAGTGTCCTCCCATCACCCTTGCCCCTGGGCATCATCCTCCTTGGCCTGGAAACCCTGAGCTCCCTGACGCCCCCGCCCCTCTCCCTACCTGTGCCAGGGAAGGCTGCTGCTCTCTGTCAGCCCTGGAGCCCCTCCTCCCCCAGCTCCTCTCACCCCTCCCTGTGGTCCTTGCCAATCGCCCTGAGCCCGAAAAGGTGGGGGACTCTTGGAGAGACGGGGTCCTGGATCCCCAGCCCTGGGGTCCCCTACTCACAGGGTCAGATACGCTAACAAAGGCCAAGCACCCTGCCAAGCGGTGTCCTGGATTGGGGTGGGCATGGGGGTTCGCCTCAGGTCCAGGCTCCGGGATGTCGTGCAGGACAGGGCGCGGCTGCGGCTGTGGCGGGGGCACTGGCTGGAAGCCGGAACTCCCGGCCTTGAGGGCGGAAAGTGTGGCCAGTACGGCGTGCTGGGGGGGCCATGGCCCCGTTGCCAGGCAGCGCCTCCCTGGACACCAGTTGCCATGGAAGCCGGTTCCTGCCCATGTTGCCACGGTGTCCAGGTGGCCTCGGGGAGTCTGGTTCAGAGGGGCCGCCCTGTGCCCTTGCCCGTCCTCCGATGCCCAGGTATGGGCTGGGAGGGCAAAGAGGAGGAGAGGCTGCGATGCCCAGCATGGAGACCCAAGTCCTTCCTGCTGGAGCTGGGCTGCGGCCCAGGGGAGGGGCCAGATGTGGCTGTTCTGCTGTCCGCACTGCGGACTTGATGTTCGTACCCCAAGCTCATTTTATTTATTTTCTATTTTTATTAAGTCAGGGTCTCACTCTGTTGCCCAGGCTGGAGTGCAGTGGCCGGATCTCAGCTCACTGCAAGCTCTGCTTCCCAGGTTTATGCCATTCTCCTGCCTCAGCCTCCCGAGTAGCTGGGACTATAGGCGCTCGCCACCTCGCCCGGCTAGTTTTTTGTATTTTTTTAGTAGAGACGGGGTTTCACCGTGTTAGCCAGGATGGTCTCGATCTCCCGACCTCATGATCCGCCCATCTCGGCCTCCCAAAGTGCTGGGATTACAGGCTTGAGCCACCGCGCCCCGCCGCTAATTCTTTATTATTTTGTTTTTGTAGAGACTGGGTCTCACTGTGTTGCCCAGACTGGTCTTGAACTCCTGGCTCAAGTGATCTGCCCGCCTCAGCCTCTCAAAATACTAGGATTACAGGTGTGAGCCACCTCGCCCATGCTTGGCTGCTTCCAAGTATATCTCAAAAGCCAAGAAATAGGCCCTGAGTGGATGGACCTTGGGGTCACTGGGCCAGCTCCAGCCCTTAGAGGACCCCATCTCTGTGTCCCTTAACATGGGCTCCTGGCCCACACCCACCCAGGCTGCCTGGCAGGGTCTGCTCCCTCTCCAGCCCTCGGAGCTGCCCTATGTGGAGGGTTGGGGGTCCCAGAAAACCTGGGAGAAATGGCCATGGGCCCTGGCGTGGGCACTATCCTTCATGTCCTCCCAGGGCCTGGGCTATAGCCTGAGGTGTGAGCGCTCCTTTGCCTCAGGAGGGGAAGAGGTGCGTGGTGGCCTTCAGTCAGGCCCGTGGGGTTCCAAGAGTGGTCTTGGGCCTCCCAGCTTCCCCTAGACTCACAGCCAAGAGGACGGGTCTGCGGGGGGCTGTGTGAGGGATTCGGTGGCCTGCAGAGTGCCCCGCCCTGTCCAGGGCAAGGGTGGCGACTGGACACATGCCCTGAGTGCCGGGCAGCCTCCTCTGCCTTCCCACCCTGTGGGGCACCCCTGAGGGGACAGAGAACAGTTGGGGGCTGGGTCCTGGGAACAGGGTGTGGGGGAAGGGCAGAGTGCTGGGGATGCTGGGCCCACACCTCCCTGTCCCTGGGGCTTCCCCATGTCAGAGGCGAGGCTCAGAGAGGTAAGGGCTCACCCTTTGTCTGCCCTGTTCCCAGTATGGCCAAGCCGCTCCCAGGGTGCGGGCGATGGCAGGTCATTTGTCTCCCTCCTGAGTGAGTCTCTGGACACGGATTCTCACATTTTTTATTTAAGAATCAGAGAGATACAAGAATGTCAAGGAAAAATCCTCTCATGGACAAGGCAGCCCCAGTAAATGACTGTTAGCCGGCATGACCAGGGCTCCAAAGCCTCAGGAGGTGGCTGTGCTGGGGCTGCCAGGCCTCTGGCTCCAGAGTTGCCCGGGCTGAACTGAACATACCCACCCCTGCCCAGGCCCAGGGACACCCTGCCCCTGAGGAGACCCCCGGCGTGGCCAGTCCACCTTCTTGGCACTCCCTGCCCACCTACCCCTTCTAGTCGAACAGTGGAGCTCGGGGGGGACAGGGTGGCAGAGTGCCTGATGGTTGGTGCCAAGGTCATTTCCCAGGTCCTTGTTGGGGCCAAGAGCCAGGACTCCTTGCCCATCCCCGTCGCTGCCCTGTGCCCGCCCAGCACCTCCTGGGGACTAGGCTGCCTGTTGGAGCAGGAAACACAGTGCTGGGCTGTGAGCCCCTGGGGCCTGTCTCTGTGCCCCAGGACCAGGCTTCTGGGTTGAGGGAGAGACCAGGGGCAGGTGAGGAGCGGCAGGGCTCCCGGAATCCCTCCATGCCCGCCCCTCGGTCTCCAGGACTTGTGTGCACGTACAGGCTGGAGCTGTGGTGCAGTTCCCAGTCTCACCACCAGATGGCACCATGCCCCTACAGAAGCAGTGCCCAGCGCAGGCCAGGCGGTTCTCGGGAGCTGCAGTGGGGGCATCCGCCCAGCCGAAGCTCTGGCAGGGCAGGGGCAGTGCTGGGGGAGCCCCCTTCCCACTTGGATCCGAAGTTCCCATGGGGGCCTAGGACAGGGGCTGGCCGGGAAGTCAGAAGTTCCCTTGTTGGGTCGAGGGTGTCTATCCCACATTTCATACGGTGAGGAATCATCCCAGACACGCGGGCACTGTCCCGGGGCTGTTTGCTACCCCTCCCAAGGGGCAGGGCTCCTGTCCTGGGGACTTCCCAAGCATAGTAGCCTTCGGGCAGCCCCAGCCTGGCCCCAAGTTGTCCCACTTGTCAGTGGGCAGCGGGGTCTGGAGGAGGGGTCCTAGCTCCTGTCCAAGGTCGTGACTGCCCCTGACCAGGGTGTGGCAGCCGCTGTGGCCTGGGTCAGTGAGGCTGTGGCCAGAGAGTGGCCCGGGTGTAGGCGCTGCTCTCAGCTAAGAGACAGCCCATCTGGAGGAAGAACCAGGAACCAGAGGTTCCCAGCCCACAGGAGGCCAGCTTAGGGTCAATAGGGGCCCCCCGGCAGGGACTGCAAGAGGCAAACCACATGGAGAGTCACCTGAGAGGGAATGATGGAGGCTGGGGGAGGTGGAGCCCCCACCTCCAACTGCTGCCTCGGCCCCCACAGCAGGCGAGGGCGGGAGGCTGGCCCTGGCTCTGGCCTGGGAGATGCCAGCCAGGCCTTGGTCTGGGGCGGAGGGCTGGCCAGGAGGCTGGGTACGGCCACTGCTCTGGAGTGACCACACCATTTCCACCCTGCTTGCCTCATTCTTCTCATGAGGGCCTCAAGGGGACACACCAGAGGTTTACTGGGGGCAGGGCTGGGGAGGGATCTCAGCACTGGCCTTCTGGGGCCATGTGTCCGCTCTGCCCCTTTCTGACCTGGACTGGGGCCTCTGCCCTCCCCCGGGCCTGGTGACAGAGCCCTTTTGGAGGCCCTCAGGCCCAACAAGCGTGGTTCTTGGAGCCAGGCTGAGGGCTGGGCTGTATCCTGGTGGGGTGGCGTGGGGTGGGAGTGAGGCTGGGAGCAGGTCGAGGTTGGTGCCTCAGGCTCTGGGGAACGGGCCTGGGATGGCTGGAGAGCGGAGGAGAGGCTCTCTCAATCCTGGGCTTTGGGGTCTGAGCCCAGCCCTGTCCCGAGGCAGGCCGTCCCCTGCAGCTCTGGATTCCCATGTTGGTTGGAGTTGCGGTGAGAGGTGCTGGGGCCTCCCTTGCCTCTGCCCAGGACACACAGCTGAGAAGTCATGCTCTGCTGCCCGACTGTAGGGGTTTCAAGCCCCACTGGGGCCTCCAGGTGGGCCCTTGGGCAGCAGGACCTTGTGGCGGGAGGAGGGGACCCTGGGAAATCAGGGACCAGGCAGGGGAGGGAGAGAAGGCAGAAGTACGGTTGTGGGTGTGGTTACCCGCCCCTTCCCGAACTGTTCCTCCCGGTGCACCCCACTCCAGTCCTCTGGGCCAGCTGCCAGGGGGTGCCAGAGGCCACCTCCCTCCCCAAAAAGAGGTCTTACCGTCAGAGCCAGTCTTTGAAGCTCCTGGTGACCTCAGCCTGTTGCCCTTGACCCTGAGCTCGCCTAGATCAATTGGGAGGCTGCTGTTTGGGCCTCAGTTCTCCCATCCTCAAGGAGCAGGTCCTCTGTCCCCTGACAGCACCCCTCCTCGCTGTGCCACCACCACTGCCAGGGTTCTGACCTGTGGATGTTCCCTAGGGGGTGGCTCTGGGCCCTCAGGCAACCGGCTACTCTGGGTGGTGGTTTGCACGTGAATAGTGTCACACTTGGGTCCTTTGCTTGAAGTTGGCTCTGCTGAGTGCAGCCTGCAAACATTTTCAGGAAACTCAATCCACAGCTGGAGGCTTGGGCTTCTCCCCAACCCAAATGGCCCCCAGCCAGCCAGAGAGCCACGACAACCCAGCCGCTAGCACCTGCCAGCAGGAAAACCACTACCAGCTGCTCACAGATGGACAGCCCATCCCAGCAGCTGACCCCACCTCCCCGCCCCTCTGCTGACCAACCCAGCAGCTCCTTGGGTGGGTGTGGCCGCCCTGCTGCCCCCACCTGCTCCCGGACCCTGTGCGAAGCGGTGCTTCAACTCAGCGGAGCCTTGCCTCTCTCAGAGCTGCTCTGCTGCCTGACCTGGCAATGTCATGGGTCCTCTGGGCACCGGCGCAGTTGGGTGGGATCAGCTTTGGCCAGCAGGTTGGGGACAGGTGGGTAAATCCTCCTCCCTCTATGCTGTCTCCGCTTTCCTCCTCCTGCCCGGCTTCCCTGTCTTTACCCCACTCTGGCTCCCAGGGTTGCACTGCTCAGAAAGCTGTCGCTGCCGGGCTGCTCGCAGGCCTGATTTTCTTGGGAGCCTGGGCTCCCAAAGAAAAGACCCTGACCAGCCCTCCCACCCACCACCCACACCGCCAACCAGCTAGCCAGCAACCAGGCCAGGAGTGATCAGGAGGGGCCCACCCGGCCACCCACCCGGCACCTCCAGCCAGACAGCTCTGCCCACTCAGGGCCGTGAGCTGGAGGTGCCAGGAGCCTTCCGGGAGGCGGTGTGAGGCATTCTTCTTAATAAGTCCCGCATCAATGATAAAGGGCCGTATCAACCCCTCGCTGATGTGCAGTGAGTGATAAACGTTTAATTTATCTCGGGAACTGGGCGTAAGTTATAAAAATGGTAATTTCTTGGAGATTCAATTACGTGTTTTCATTGTTACCCTCAGTAATCAAGGAAACGATTTTTTATAAAAGACCGTGGGATGACACTGATCTCAGGAGAGGATCTGGGTTGGGTGGGGGCTTTGGGGATGAAAAGGAGGGCAGTGTCTGCTGGGGACAGGCAGGGCAAGTGGAGCTGAGCCGCCTGGCTCACCAGTTCCTCTAGCCCTCCAGCTCCTCCAGCCCTCTGGCCTCAGTCTTCCCATCTGCTGATGGGCCCATCTCTGGTAGGGAGGGTCTGTGTTTTGGGATGAGGGTTGATGAAGTGAGGCGTGACTCCTGGGCCATGAGGGTGGCTGTGAGGGTGGCTGCATCCCTTTGCCTCCCTGCCTGGTGCCTGAGCAGTCTCATCCATCTGCTGAGGCCTCTGCGGGGAATACAGAGGGGTTCCTCGTGGAATGCGGGACCTGATTTTTTCCCCAAGTGATGTCTTGGCTCTAAATAACATTTGCAGGATTAATGGTGCCGGCAGCCAACAGCACCAGGTGATTGGAAAAAGGGTTTTATGGCCCCGTGGGTAAAATTGAACTTGCATCCGAGGTGTATTTCCAAGATGGGATTTTCCTCCCTGGCAGAGGCGGCACATTCCACGCTAATTATAATGGCAACTCCTCGACATTCATCACCCGCAGTGGGGGGGACGCCGGTCTGGGGCACAGGGGCAGGGTGTCCCTGGAGTCACCTCCAGACCCCCTAATCTCAGCAGACCCTGGGGGGGCTGCTTCTAGGAGATGCGCCCTTACCCAGTGCGGGGCCAGGGAAGGGGGAGGCGGGAGCCCCCAGAGGATGAACGAGCTCTAGCTGGGCTGCACCGGGGAGGAAGCTGGAAGGAGGCCCCAGGCTGAAGGTGGGACCCAGCTAGTGCCTGCCCAGGGACCCACAGGAGCCTCGATGAGCAGACTCCGGGGAGGGGCCTGGCCCATCTTGTCGCAAGGGGCTGGAGTCCTGGGCTGAGCTGGGCAGTTGACCTTGGATCTGACTCAAGTCTTTTTACCCCAACTCAGGCTCCTGCAGCCCAGCACAGCGCCCAGCCAGGATGGGCAGGAGGAAGCCCTTCCTCCGAGGGGCCCTCACCGCACCCTGCCTGAGAGGCCTCGAGCCCCAGGGCTCTTGTCTCAGCACCGGGCCAGAGATTCGGGAACTATGGGAGTTTGGGGGACCTTGGTGGCTGAGGGTTGTGCTCGTGGAGGACTCCTTGAGTTTGGAAGATGAGGCCCACCTTCTGCACAGCCAATAGGTCATTGTCATGGGGACACTGACCACCAGCACCAACCTCCATTCCCTGCCGGGGACACCTGCCTTTATCACCCATTTCCCAGGTGAGGACAGGGGCTCAAAGAGGGGCAGGGTTCCTCTGAGGTCACACAGCAGGTGAGCAACAGAGCCAGTGAGGGCCTCGGGGTGTCCTGCCAGGGGCTGAGGTGTGCCCACATGCAGGAATCCAGGGGTCCTTGGGCCAGGGCCCTGCCAATAGTTGGGGGCGGGGGGAGGGAAGGGAGCATTGCCAACCCTGTAGCCCCTGCCCTGGGGGATAGGGGGAAGACGCATCCCCAGGGGCCCGATGGGCAAGGTGGGCCATGCTGTTCCCTCTAATCTGCCACAGGTGAACCTGACAGGAGTGGGGATGGAGCCTGGCATCCCCAGGGAACCTCCTGGAGTAATCACTCCACATGCTCGCAGTAAATACTGGGCTCTTCTTCCCTTCCCAGTAATTGAACTTATTTACTTTTAACTAAGATTAAATGTTCTCTGTGAGCTCAAGATACTGACTGCCCTGTCAGGCTCAGTCCACTCTCTACTCTTCCTGCCTCCGGGGACTCCCCCAGGCAGGGAGGGACCAGGCAGCCCTGGGGGAGCAGAGTTGTTTCTCCAGGAAACTCCAGGTGGAGAATCCATTTACATCATCACCACTGTCACCATGAGCATGGCCATAACCACCATCATGGCCAGCTCCACCAGCATCACCACCACTACCACCACCACCATCACCATCACTACCACCACCACCACCACAACCTCCATCACCTCCACCATGACCACCACCACCACCACCACCACCATCACTACTACCAACACCACCACCACAACCTCCATCCACCACCCACCATCCACCACCACCACCACCACCCACCATCACCTACCACCACCCCACCCACACCTCCACCACCCACCACCACTCACCCATCCACTACCCCCACCACCACCACAACCTCCATCCACCTCCACCATACCACCACCACCACCACCACCCACCCACTCCACCACCACCACCACAACCTCCCATCACCACCACCAACCACCACCACCACCACCACCATCCACCTACCACCCCACCACCACCACCACAACCTCCATCACCTCCACCATGACCACCACCCTACCACCACCACCATCACCCATCACTTACTACCAAACACCACCACCACACCACACTATCCACCACCTACCACCACACCTACCACACACCCCACACCTCCACCATCCACCACCAACCTCCATCACCATCCACCACCACCACCACCACCAAACCTCCACCTCCACCATGACCACCCACACCACCATCACCATCACTACCACCACCCACCACCACCAAACCTCCATCACCTCCACCATGACCACCACCACCACCACCACCACCATCACTCACTACCACCACCACCCACCCACACCCACCATCACCCCCACCACACCACCACCACCATCACCATCCACCTACTACCACCACCACCACCACCACACCCACCATCACCACCACTACCACCACCACCATCACAAACCTCCATCACCTCCACCATGACCACCACCACCACCCCACCACCACCACCATCACCACCACCACCCCACCACCACCACCACCACAACCTCCATCACCTCCACCATGACCACACCACCCACCCACCACCCACCACACCATCACTACCACCACCACACCACCACCAACACACCACCATCACCTCCACCATGACCACCACCACCACCACCATCATCACTACCACCACCACCACCACCACAACCTCCATCACCTCCACCATGACCACCACCACCACCACCACCATCACTATCACCACCACCACCACAACCTCCATCACCTCCACCACCACCACCACCACACCACCACCATCACACTACCACCACCACCACACCACAACCTCCATCACCTCCACCATGACCACCACCACCACCACCATCACCATCACTACCACCACCACCACCACCACCACCATCACCACCACACCACCACCACCATCACAACCTCCATCACCTCCACCATGACCCACCACCACCACCACCACACACCATCCATCACCACCACCACCTCCATCACCTCCACCATGACCACCACCACCACCACCACCACCACCATCACTACCACCACCACCACCACCACAACCTCCATCACCTCCACCATGACCACCACCACCACCATCACCATCACTACCACCACCACCACCACAACCTCCATCACCTCCACCATGACCACCACCACCACCACCACCACCATCACTACCACCACCACCACCACCTCCATCACCTCCACCATGACCACCACCACCACCACCATCACCATCACTACCACCACCACAACCTCCATCACCTCCACCATGACCACCACCACCACCACCACCATCACTATCACCACCACAACCACAACCTCCATCACCTCCACCATGACCACCACCACCACCACCATCACCATCACTACCACCACCACCACAACCACAACCTCCATCACCTCCACCATGACCACCACCACCACCACCATCACCATCACTACTACCACCACCACCACCACCAGCACCACCATCACCACCACTACGACCACCACCATCACTACCTCCATCACCTCCACCATGACCACCACCACCACCACCACCATCACTACCACCACCACCACCACAACCTCCATCACCTCCACCATGACCATCACCACCAACACCACCACCATCCATCACTACCACCACCACCACCACCACCACAACCTCCATCACCTCCACCATGACCACCACCACCACCACCATCACCATCACTACCACCACCACCACAACCTCCATCACCTCCACCATGACCACCACCACCACCACCACCACCACCATCACTACCACCACCACCACCACCTCCATCACCTCCACCATGACCACCACCACCACCACCATCACCATCGCTACCACCACCACCACAACCTCCATCACCTCCACCATGACCACCACCACCACCACCATCACCATCACTACCACCACCACAATCAGAACCTACATTACCTCCACCATGACCACCACCACCACTACCACCATCATCACCATCACTACCACCACCACCACCACAACCTCCATCATCTCTACCATGACCACCACCACCACCACCATCACCATCACTACCACCACCACCACAACCTCCGTCACCTCCACCATGACCACCACCACCACCACCATCACCATCACTACCACCACCACTACAACCTCCATCACCTCCACCATGACCACCACCACCACCACCACCACCACCACCACCACCATCACTACCACCACCACCTCCATCACCTCCACCATGACCACTACCATCACCATCACCATCACTACCGCCACCACCACCACAACATCCATCACCTCCACCATGACCACCACCACCACCACCACCACCATCACTGCCACCACCACCACCAGAACCTCCATCACCTCCACCATGACCACCACCACCACCACCATCACCATCACTACCGCCACCACCACCACAACCTCCATTACCTCCACCATGACCACCGCCACCACACCACACACCACCACCACCACACCCCATCACTCCACCATGACCACCACCACCCACCACATCACCACACCACCACCAAACTCCATCACTCCACCATGACCACCACCACCACCACCTACACCACCACCACCAAACCTCCATCACCTCCACCATGACCACCACCACCACCATCACCATCACTACCACCACCACCATCACTCCACCACCACCACCCACCAACCACCACCCCCCCCCCCCCCCCCCCCCCCCCCCCCCCCCCACTCCACCATGACCACCACCACCACCACTATCACAGTCACTACCACCACCACCACCAGAACCTCCATCATCTCCACCATGACCACCACCACCACCACCATCACTACCACCACCACCACCAGAACCTCCATCACCTCCACCATGACCACCACCACCACCACCATCACCATCACTACCACCACCATCACCATCACTACCACCACCACCATCACTACCACCACCACCACCACCAGAACCTACATTATCTCCACCATGACCACCACCACCACCATCACCGTCACTACCACCACCATAATCAGAACCTACATTACCTCCACCATGACCACCACCACCACCACCACCATCACCATCACTACCACCACCACCATCACCACCACAAACTCCATCACCTCCACCATGACCACCACCACCATCACCACCACAAACTCCATCACCTCCACCATGACCACCACCACCACCATCACCACCACTACCACCACCACAACCAGAACCTCCATCACCTCTATCTACCATGACCACCACCACCACCATCACCACCACAACCTCCATCACCTCCACCATGACCAACACCATCATCACCACCACAACCATCACCACCACTACCACCATCACTGGTTCCACACCACCATCAGCAATAACACCACCTCCATCACTACCTCTGTCACCACCACCATCACCATGGCTATCACTACCACCACCACCACCACCATCACTATGGTCATTGTGACTGAGCCCATCATCACTGCTGTCATTGGCACTGTCAAGCCCACAGTGGATTTGAGGGCTGCCATTGCTTGGCACTAATTTCTCAGGCACAGGAGACTCCATGCTGGTCTGATTGCAATGGAGGGGATGCCTGACAAGGCTCTTTAAGGGGTGGGCATTGTGGAGTGGGAAGGGAGAGGCTAGGGCAGGCCTCGAGGACTTCATGTCATGGGCAATCTCCCCAGCCTCCTTCTGTCTCAGCAGCACCTCACGCTTCTCCTTGACTGAGCTGGAGCAGAAGAAGCAGGCAGGGGTGGGAGAAGGGGCAGGGGCGGCCACAGCCACCTCTACCTAGGCTGGAGAACAGCTTCCCGGTCTCCCTAAAGCGAGGGGCCACCCAGAGGAAGCACCTAGCCATTCTCGCCTCCAGACTCCACCCAGTGCTTGGATAGCCAAGGAGGCCTGCTTGGGGTTGGGGCTGGGCACTCAGCCAAAGGGGCCCGAGAGCATGCCGTGTGCAGATCTGCTCCCATGAGGTGGTGAGAGCCTGCTGCACAGATCTCTTGCCCCGAGCCTTGGCTTGCTTATCTGTGAAAGGGGTGACGTGGTGCCTGCTGCACAGCAGGCCACAAGGGCAGAGCAACAGGACAGAGTGAGGGGCCGTAAGGTGCTGCCTCGTAAGAGAGCTGTGGACTGGCCTTGAGGGGTAGCCTGTGTCCTTTCGCTGAGAACAGTGGGAAGTGAGCTGCGAGCTTGGGCCCACAGTGGTGGTCTTAGGCTGCCATGGTCACATAATGCCACCTCCCAGTGCCTGCGGCAGCACCCCTGGGCTCTGCAGCCCCAGCCAGCCGTCCATGTGGCCCATCCTGTCCTCTCCGGGCCCGTCTGTGTGCACCCAATGGAGTGTCTCCTCTCTCCTATGGCTCCCCGAGGCTGCTGGTCACAGGGCTGATGAGGACACTGGAGGCCGCTGCGGGGCTGGCCGGGAGCCTGCGGGATTGCAGCAGCCTGGGATCTGCAGCTGGGGCTGACCTAGCACA